CTTAAGGCCGGGGAGCAGAGTAGCGGACACGCCCAGGCGTAGGGCACCCATGCGGGGGAAGAAAGAGCAGAGCGTCGTGGGGCTGTTCTCGGCCGAGGAGGGCAGACCAGGAGGAGTGAGAGGGGTCAAGGGAGCTGGAGGTGAAAAAGAGGAGTTTGAGTTCGTATCGTCTGTAGAGCTGAGAGATTCACTGCGGAAATGAGTGTATTTTGTTTTGGGGACCAGCTCCATTCTGATCTTTAAATATGATATTCTTATAAAATGTTTTATATCAGCAAGCCACACTTCCTGTGGTTTTGTTGGTTACGCGCTTTCTTTGAATTCAGAGTCTCTCCGTTTCTCCGGAAGAAGGGCTCGCTGTTTCACTGAGCTGCGTATCCATTCCCGGCAAGACTTCCTGGGTCTTTGACTTCCCCGCATCGTCAGACACGGCGGAAAAGCGTGGTCTGCTGCAAATCCGCCGAGAAGGTGCTGGCCATCCTGCGCCCCGTGGCTGAAGCTTCTGACACCATCAGCACTGCAGTTGATCCGCAGTGAGACCCCTGAGTGTCTGCAGGCCTGATTTGTACATCTGTCCCAATGCGATTTAGTTTTTTTTTTTTTCTTCAAAAAAGCACCAGTGAAATCATAAGTGTGTCTCGTTGCATGTCTGCATTGTCACTCTGTGCATATATATTTATATCTGTACAGGTTTGACCCCGAGTGCTATGGCTGTCTCCTTAGCGGCACGTCTGCGCTGCGTCGGTCCCATTGACGGGTGGCACCATCACAACACAGGGCACGGTGAGAACCAGGCCGGCAAGCGGTCATCTGACAGCACCATGGCAAGAGAGACAAAAAACAAATAAATATAAAGTTTAAAAAAAACCTGATGTCCTGCAGGTAAGACCGTGTATGTTCTGCTACAAAGGCGTCCGGTCCTCTCCAACACACAGCAGGCTGATCAATTAGGAAGGAAAGTCTGGTGGAGAGTAGAACAGCAAGCCTATGAGAGAAGTGCGCCACACAGTGGCCGGGAGGCCTCCTGAAAGACAGCCACGCACCTGACCGGCCTGCCCCTCCCTGCTTGCCTGCCCCTTGGCCTCACTCTAATCCCTCTCTCGCTTCCTCCATATGGCCTCGTGGTCTTTCGGGTTGGCCTGGGGCCTCTCCCTATCGCTCTCCGCAGGCCCTTCCCTCCTCCTCCATACAACCTCTGGTCCTACCACATGCACCAGGCTCCTCTGTGACCTCAGGCTCTCCTCCCTGGCCCTCTTCTCCTTGAAGCCCTCTCTCTTCTTCCAGACGGTGTACTCCCTCTCAGGTTCCCCCACCACCTCCTCCTGCACCACCACTCCTTCCCTCCTCTTCCAGATAATCTCACGCTCCCCCTCTCCCCCTCCCTCGTCAGCTTTCCCGTTCTCCAGGCTGTCACTATTTAGGATTTTCTCCTTTTCTAAGCCTACCCTCTTTACCTTCCCCCTCCCCTCCAACCCCACTACTAAACTGACCAGCAAACTCCCGAGCACTTACATGTCAGTGCGTCACAGGAACAGGACTTGAACAACAGGTAGAAAAGAAGGTAGAAAAGAGAAGGTAAGAAAGTGCCCTGGACTCTGTTACAGCAGTAACTTAACAGCCCGAAAACATTACTAATAATCTAAACCAGTCAACCGCTTCACCTTGATTCACAAGTGTGTCAAAAGGGTGAGATCTTCAAAAAGTTCCCCTTCCATCATCTCTCTTTTGCATCATCTGAAAAAAACATTACCGTAGCTTTATAAGCTTCCACAGTGCAGAAAGTTACACAAAAACACCAACTTTGTGATCAAACCGAGTTCCTGAGTGACCTGGGGGGGGTCGGACTAATGAGACAGGAAGACAACACGCTCCTCGCTCTCATGTTATGGGAAGGGATGGCGGTGCAGACTGCAGGGACTAACCAGCGACGGGTTGAAAGGAGCTGTAGTCTGAGGGGATGCCCTATTGGGCAGAGGGAGCGCACAGAGAGAGGCTCCACACAGTTGGGATCTCGCACCTTGTTGCACAGTGGCTAGCGGGTAGTGCGGGATACCCCTTAGCATACAGTACTGAGACAGTTCAGGGCATAAGAGGGAAACTGCGACTGTCCAGCAAGCACCAAACGCCAGCCAGGGCCACGTGTAGCACCATGCGGCAGACCGACCTGCCGAGCCCTGGTCCCAGTATGGCGCAGCACCCTGCCAAGAGCAGGGCGGGACAGCGATAGTCAAGAAACGCAGCACAGTGGCTTAACAGTCCGGTCCTGATTATGGTTAGAGCAAGCAGACCGAGCTCTGTGCCACAGCACAGGAAACAGTGCAATAGGGCTCACCTGCAAACATCCCACGGCATTCAACCTACAGCCATGTGACGGTGCAGCACCAGCAGGTGGCGCCGGTCTCCCGGAGAAGTGCACAGGGGGCCGGGATGGGGGGCTAATAAAGACAGTGTGCCGATGCTCTCCAGCTACACCAGGCCATCGCCTGGCCGGCTGCAGCCCACGGGACCAACGGCAGCACTGCGCACACTAAGACGAGAAGGTTAGCATGACCTACAAAAGCTGCAGGCAGGCGGCAGAGCACCCAAAGGCACCGCTCCGGAGGAAGGTCACCAGGTCCGGAGAATTGGAAAAGACCGGCACCGTGGACAGCCTGCAAAATAAGCCAGCAGACGGCACCTAGCACCACCACGAATCACTGTCAGCACCAGATGAAACCATACATGCAGGCCAGTACTTGTGTCAAGACAAAGGCCATGACAGGAAATATAAAAACACAAAGATGACAATAACACTGTGATCAGCACTGAGCACCACTAAAAGAGGTCTACGGAGGACGAGATCACGGCTACATGCTAAACTAATAAAGTCACCATCATCACTGAGCACCGCTAACAGAGATGTGCATACTCCAAAGGACGAGATCACTACCACATACTACACAAATAAAGTCACCATCAGCACACATCAGGGGCAATTTCCCCCAGGATGAACAGCAATAAAAAAAATGACTAAAATTACTTTCACCAAGTACAAATGATCCATTCAGATTTCCACAAATGCAAACCTGAAAGCCCGACAGGACATGAATTTTATCATAAAAAGGACTACTTAAGCATAATACATCATAGCAAAATTTACTAGCAAAATGATATTAAAAAAGGAGTCCATGTTAGGACTGTTTAACTCTGTCAACCTAAACAGAGATGAAAAGTAAGACCCCAGAGATCAAATACCTGACAAGCACACAAGTCCTTTAAATATGAGAATACAAGGATACGCTTCCAGTCACTAAGGAAACTGACGGAATAAAAAAGATTAAGTGGCTGTACAGTCTTAACATCCTCTTTTCATGTGGTTTAAGAGCGACGTCCTAGTGTGACGTTAAAAAATTAAAAATGGTAGATTGTTTTGGGGGGAGGGAGATTACTTATGCCCAGTTCAAAAAAATAACCCAATAAATCTTTACCCTGCCAGGACCAGACTTTCCATCGCCTAGCCCTCCGGTCTCCTCCCTGCGAAAACGCTCTCACCTCCTGCTATTTGCCTGCCCCCTTGTTTCCAGGAAGGGAGCAGGAAAAAAAAAAGAAAAAGGGAAATCACAAAGTCATAGTGAGCTGATTAGTTCATTTGCCCCAGCACATTGTCTCGGTCAGCCAGACAAAAGGACAGACGCTCAGAAGACGACAGCCCTCCTTTGTTTGCTCTCTCTCCGCCGCTGCTCCTTTGCCATCCTCCGCCGCTCTCACGTGTGCCCGTCGCGGTCCAGCGCTCTCGCGCCGCTCGGCTACGGCTCCCTGCGCCCTGCCGCTCCCCACTCGGCGTTGGGCATTTATGAGGACACATGCGCCTGTGCGCGTGTGCAGTGACACCCACCCCCCACTCAGCAAGTGGGAAAGGAAGGAGCAGCTCCTCTCTGAATACTGCCTGGTAACCTGAGAGAGAGGGGGAGGGACTGGGAGGCGGGATGGGGGGGGGGGCGGGGGGGAGTGGGAGGGGGGAGCTGCTCCACTTCCTGTCTCTCCCTCACTCCAGTGCTTCTGGCCAGAGCATCCGTGGGAAGGCATGTGCAGCCAGTTCTCCGTCAGCGATGTGTGGTGACGCCGTGTGACGTGCAGTCTGGAAAGCTGGCTCCTCTCTGCATTCACAGCTTCGGCATGGAGGAGGACAGAACGCCTCGCTGCCGTTGTGCATCCAGGTAAACTCAGGGGTGTGTCAGACTCAGACTCTCTTACCGGTGGGAGGGTGGGGGGACAAGACAAGCAGTAACGAATCGGAAATGACGGCCCCGGGATGTAAAAAGTGAGTCACACCAGTCCCACGAGGACAAACACCCACGGCGAGTGTGTTAGTTTACGTTGCTGTACCAGCCTGCGATCAAAGCAGCATCTCATAGGTGTCAGGCTGGGGCACAGTCGGAGTCCGAAGGAGATTTTTAAAAAGGAAAAAAATGAAGCGAGATTCAGCACTTCCCTACAGATCTAAAAAGGAGAGGTCCCTTCAACAGAACAGGCAAGCACCAGGATGCGATCCCTAGGTCCCGCAGTCCCAAACGAAGCCCAAGGCACAGGGAGAACGAGAAGACCACACCAGGAAGCCTGTCCCGAATTGGGACACCAGCACCTTGGCATAGGGGTTGCAAATTAGACCTCACACTGATCAGTGGTGCAACTGCTGGCAAAAGACAGAAGGGCGGTCCTGTACCAAGGATCCACAGATTTCAGCCTTTAAGCTTAACATTTAAGTGAATCAATACAAGGCTTACTGTCCCTACTGAGACTTACTCTAACATGTCATTACAGTTCGGTCTGTCAATGGGAGCCATTTTAATGACCATAGCTAAGAGGAAACACTGTAAGGGACCATGACTGATTTCACTGACATCTTTATAATTATATGCACTAAATGCAAAGTTTGACTAATGCTGCACCGAATAATGGTATTATTCTGTTTACAGACCAGCTGCAAATTTCTCCTAATCCTGACTCCCTCAGGAGTTGTGAGCTCCAGTACCAAATAACAATCCTCTGTTTAACCTCAGGTTCACACTAAGAATACATCTAGCAGGTGAGGTGTGAGGTAACGACTCGAGGGACGTGCAACCTCTATCCCGCAGCGTGGCCATAGAAATCTCCAGGGCTTACCACGTACTCCATGGGGCTGCCCCGCACGTGCCTGCAGCCCTAGGAACACCACAAAAGGGATCAGCACAAGCAGCAGGTACTGTTCAGGGGAGGGTCCGAGCACAGCAGCATGCACACTCTGGCAGGCATCCATGTGCTCGCAGCGAGGGCGTCGAGGCGGTCGTGCTCAGACACACACCAGGGAATGACAAGAATGACAGTGGGGGGGGGGGCGAGAACGTGTCTCAGCTTGGCCCATGGTGACGCTGGGTGGCCACAGATTTCAAAAACCTCCTCTTCATTGGATGGGGGCAGGTATCCACAGAGAACAGTGACATCACGCATCCCCCCCCCCCAAAAAAAATCACCCACCGGGCCTCAAATTAAACACACGAGACCCGAAACAGAACTGAAGGAAGCTTCCTTGCTTTTCTGCCTGTTACGCAGTGACAAATACACACAGAGCAGAAAACAGGGAGCAGAGGGATGGGGGGGGGGCTGCGGAGGGATTAAAAAATTAATATTCAGCCCCTTTCACTCTGAACTCCCAAAGTGCTTCTGGAGTGTCAAGCTCTTTCCGCCTGAAGAATGACTCCTGATGCATCACCAGTATGTTAAAAATACTGTGTTCCTCTCTATGTTAGACAAAGAATTTAAAAAGTGACTTGATTGCTTTGCGTTCTCTTTTTGCGGTTTTACAATCTTGTCTCATTCCCCATTCAGACGAGCCACCTGTTCGGTTGTGCAGAAACTGTGTACTCTGGCATTAGTCATCATGTTACTGGGCTACATTTTGTTCCAGACACACTGACTCGAGTACATTTTATTCTCTGGAATCTAATCAGAGTTATTTAAAAGAGTAGAACTAAAAAAATATTAATAAACAGAAGTTAACGAGCAAAACTGAGAAGTGTCATTCACCCTGATACAGAGCACTGACACGTAGGAATGTGGCAAAACCAGGATTAACCGTTAACTCCAGATTACTGCACAAAAATCTGCGCTAGGCTTTGAGGATCTACCTGAATAGCACAACTTTCTTCCCCACTCTCTCCTGTTTAACTAGGCCCCAAAGCCTAGTTAAACACTATGTGAAAGAGAGAGTTTCACCACACAACCCAAACTGACTCACACGATTTATTGGAGTCAACAGTTGAACACATTTGCCCTTGTGGCATGGTAACAATGGCTGAATAGCAGGTAACCCAAGCTGATGGGTATCAATACAACAGGCCCAGGACACAGCACTCTTTACTGCCTGGGCATACACAAGAAACTCAATGGCTAAAAAAGGGAGTAACCAGACCGAATTACTATGTGTCACAGATAGAAAACCAGATACAGGATGAAGGCCTGGTATCATCCTACATATACTGATGCTCATGCTTAAACTGCTCCGTAACTCAGTTTCAGCAAAAGCAACACTGCAGATCTGGCCCTAAAGCTCAGACACGATTGGGGATCCATCTCCACACACTGTGTAACCACACTGACCAACTATGTGGACAATGAGCCCCTTTCATAAAACATAATATACATGTATGATCTTGCCTGCAGACTCTCTACTGTTAATATAAAAATGCAATTCAGCAAACAGCATGTTGGGGGTGGGGGGGGAGGGCACATGTGCTGTTTAACAAGTTTATAGAGATAACAGGAATCTCAAAATTCATCACTTGCTTTTTGAGTGGAGAGTTCAATCTCATCTGGCCACTCTGACCTCTGTAACTAATTTAACTTAAAGCCCAACTGCTATGAAGCCAGCATGTGAGTGTTCCATTTTGGGTTTCTCTCTCTCTCTCTTTCCCTCTCCCTCCCACATTCATTCCACCGTTCTGTCTCCAAGCTCTCACCCACACACAGAACTTCAGGCGCAGTCATACGCAGTCTAGCACTCTCCATCACGCTCTGAAGCACGAACCAGGACTTCTTAGCTCCCACCAAGTAGCCGAGTCATGCAAGGCGGTCGGCCTGCCACTGAACCAAGGAACAGAACGTTTCACACGTCAAATGATGCAAACCTCTACAAGGTTATCTATACAAATTCGAGCCTGACATTCTAAGAAAAAGCTGCCTTTAAGAAACGCAGCGCTAGCACCAGGAGGTGTTCCAACCATCTGGTTTTTTTTTCTTTTAGCTACTAGACTGTTTGCACTCATATCACAATATACTCCTACCTCTCTACCTGGGCTGCACTTAACTGCTGACATTAAAAATGAATACTGACAAAGCTTAAATCATGCACCATATTAAAGAAACTGAACAGACTGAAATATTCAGCACTTGGACATCAGCCTGCAGTCATGCACCACTGTCGCACTACTGACAACTACCTGGTGACACTTGTGGACATGCATGACCAGCCAGGCTCAGCGGACAGCAGGCTGACATTCATAACGAGCACAGAGGTGGACCTATGGGCCAGGCCAGTGAATTAACACAGCAGAGGTGAAGCTGAAGCCACAGAGCACCCCATGTTTGATGAGGGTTTTTTGGATGGGCTGATTCATTTGAAGCAATGTCTCTAACACGAGCTGACACAGAAGCAGAGACCGATCATGGGGGGGGGGGGACAAACCTGAGATGAGACCACATCCCCCACTTGTGTGCTGACGAGAAGGAACACACTGACCCTGCAGAGTCACAGCTGCCGACTGGCCCCGGGATGGAATTCGGCCTGTTCTCATCCCATTCGTTTCTCATCTTCACTGCATTGGTGAATCCATAAAGGTAGGTCCTTTTATTTCATTTGGAAAAACCTGACACTGCTATACCAGCTGGGAAAATGCCACTTGAGCACCTTCAGAAAGGCACTTTCGCCATGCTTCCGTCTGATCACTATCAGGATAGACGTCAGAACGTCAGGTCGCAAGCTGCTCGCACGCCAGACACTAACAAAAGCAAGCTGCCACAGTATTTCCAGCAAGCACAGCAGCAGGGCTAACAGAACACAGTCCTTTTCTGCAGCACTGACAAACCAAGAGACTGGGTATAAAGTACAATCTAGATATTCATCTAAACGAAACACAGCCACCCTTACCAAACACTGCTGCCCTGAAAAGCTTCTGCCACTTGCCGCCACCATTCTTGGATTTGATCCACCAGTTACTACTGACAGGCCACCGACAGTGTGCACCTCTGTCTCCATTACAGGAAGCCTGGCACGACGACTGAACATTTCAGGCCTCTGGGTGGATTGCGAACAGAGACCAGATGGGACCGGCTGTCAGCAAGACAACAGGGACACTGGGCCACAAGTTCCCAGATTTATTCTGACTAGACAGCCCTTTATCAGCAAAGAAAACCAGACTTCAACAAAAATGATTTCAGCTGTGGGTGACTTTGCTTGACACCAAACCTGAGATTAGGCTTCAGCAGCCATTTTTGTCAAACAAAGCTAAACTGGCAGACATCTACTGTGCAAAAATCTACCTATTTAGGGTACCAGGCTTGAGGTAAAAAATTAAACTGCACAAATTGAGTAAACAGAAGCAAAAAAATCAGAGGATATGGAGCAAGATATTATAAAATTCAACATACCACTAAGCCAAGTGTGATAAAAACTCTCTGGCAGATGGAGCAGTACGAGTATAGTCTTGCTAAAAGAGGCAGCATGTGATTGCCGTCTTGAAGCGAAATAAAAATGAATCCAAACCACTGCATTCCCGTTAAAAATTGCATTTCGTACAGCTGAGCCACAAGGGTGCCCTGCAGTTACACATAACAAAAAAAATGGAGCAAATCTAAAATATTAGCATTATAGGGGTGTGCTATTGACATCAAAAAATACATTTTGAAAGATTACAGAAAAGAAACTTATTGCTTCTGTCCATG